ATCACATACTGATTGTGCACTCAAAGGTGGACAAAACAGATTTAGCCCCTGCCCTTACAGAGGGTGCAGTCTCTTGAAGAGACAGACAGAAATCGATGATCACGCAAATGTGTTGCTAAGAAGGAAAAAAAGCGTAAGGTAATGGAAGGACCCAACCTAATCTGAGGTAAGAAAAAGCTTCCTTGATAAATAGGAGTTAACTAGTAGGCAGTAGGGGGAGGAAAGGGTGTGAAGGCTCCCTGGGTGTCAGAAGAGAGTGAGAAGGGGAGACTGTTTGGAGCTGAGGAGTGAGAGAAAGCAAGAATTAAGATGAGGCAGGAGAAATAGGCGAAAGTCTTGGGTACAATAAAGACTTAGGTTTTGTTCCCTAAGCCAAGAAGTGACATAATCAGATTTATTTTTAAGGATCCCTCAAAGCCGATGTAATGTAGATCAAGTATTCACTGTCACCCTGGAGTCCTCCTGGAGGCTGCAGGAACGCCCCTGATGTCAATCAACAATATTTGAGCACATTCCGGATCCTGGAGATTCTACTAAGAACTCCTCGCATTGAGCCCCCGCCCTAACAAAACTTTATCTAGAAGGACTGGGACCATGACTTAGTCTAGTTTCATTCCGCCTTGGCCCCTGCACACATGCTAGGCGGTCATGTTCACTAAGCGCCCCCGTACCAGGCTCAATAAAGATACGGCCCGCAGGCACTGACGCATCAGCATCTGCCCGACACGCGTGTGCTCTCCGCACAGGCTTGGCCGAGTACACGAGCAAGTACACGAGCATCTGCAGGTGCCCCCGCAGACGCACAAAGCTACCAAAGGGGCCCATACTCTCGGCGCCGCTTCTTGTTCCCGTCTCACCCCAGTCCCCGCCCGGACTCTTGCCGCCACAAGCCTCACTTGCAGGACTCACTTTCAGATGTCTCCACGCCATGCTCCTTCCCGCCACTGGGCCCACCCCTGCCTCGATCCATTGGAGGAGATGCACCCCGCCCCCATCTCCGCGCCTGCAATCTCCAACCCACCAATCGCCGGGCAGAAGGGTAGGGCGAGCGCCTCGGTGGCGGCGAAGGCCCCACTCCACCCCGAAGTCCTGATTGGACGCTCGCGCGCGCGCGCGCAGTCGCAGCGGTCGCGTCTCTTCCGCCTTCCCGCGCCCGCGCGCGTCTCTGAGTGTCTATGCTGAAGTGTTGCTGTGGGCCCGGGGTTGCTGCCGCGGAGCTGTTCTGCCGTCCCGCACCCTCGAATCGGAGAGTCCCTGAGGAGCCGAGGCTCCAGAAGGAAGGAAAACCTTCCTAGAAGCCCGTGAAGTGGGGAGTGCTCTCCTCCGAGGTCCCGGAAGAGTTAAAGCCGTACCCAGGGGCTTCCCGCCCCGGCCCGCTGGAGGGGCTATTCCCACCCACCTGGGGGATGCTGTGTCCCGGCGAAGACACGGCCCCAGATGGTTGTCTTTATGCCACGGCCGCGTTGTGACTTTTGGGGGCCCTTTCCTGAAAACTGTATCTTACGGTGTAAACATATATCAAAACATAGTGATTTATACGGTAAAGATGCACAATCTTTGTCAATTTAAAAAGTAAATTTTACTGCTGTGTTGATAAAAAGAATAATATATAAACTTTTCTTCTACTTAGGAGTTCATTTGTCTTCCGATTTTAAAAGAAATATTGATGTTTTCTTGAGCCCCTGAAAGTGTCATGGGCCGTTGGCCCTGTGCCTACTGGCTAAGGTGGCCCTGGTTGTGCCTTGACATTCGGGTGCAACAGGTGTGGAAGCTGTTTTGTAAAACACTGTTTCTAATCCACACCCTGAGTGTGCGGCTCTGCGTGAGTGTGGGGTATTGCAGGGATTTATACTGACCTAGTGTGTCACTTTGCAATCCTCTAGAGCGACTGTGTCCCAATCAAGAACTTTAAAATCTCTTACCTAACAAGTCCCAGCTGTTGAAGAGATTCTGTAGACTCCACATTAATCATATCAAACTTACTGTTGGGAGGCTCTACACCTGTCCTTGTCATTTTCAGCCGGTTGTGTCCTTTCCATCACCTAAAATAGTTGAAATGTTGTCATAGCAGAAATTAGAGCAAAAGAGGGAGAATGTATCTAACTCAAGCCATTTTTGAACTTCATCAGTTACATAAAGGTATCAAATTTGAATAAATCCATAGACCCACTGAGACTTAGAGATAGTCTGCAGCAATAATTCACATGCTAGGTGTCTCATGGTCTATATACAATGGAAATAACTGAAAATACTTA